ATATTAACATTAACCATACCGTAACTAAAAAGCAGAACTATTTTAAAAAAATATATTGAAGAAATCACATGATATTTTATTAAGACGATCTTGTCAGATACAATTTAAGATAGAAGACATGAATATTATCATTTTTGAATTTATTATTAATGAATTATCATAATATGATATATATATATAATTGTTCGGAAAAATGTTTATTTTTCTTAATTACACAAACACAAAGCTTAAGGAAAACAGAAAAGGCTAAGTAGTAAATAATATTTCAATGAAACCAATGGTGAATTTCTACAAGAACAATAAGCTTAAACTAGATGCGTGAGAAAACAATGAGAGTGAACGAAAGAGATAAATACGAAACGAAATGAAAAAAAAAAAAGAAAAGAAATCTTGAAAGACCAACAAGAAAAAAAAAGGAACAAAAGAAAAGACGAAGCATAATTTAATCACAGTGTCTTTTGTTTATTTAAATAAGAATTATTTAAGTTTTAAGAATAATAGCTTCTTTGTCCGAGATAGGATTTGTATCATCAATATTAATAACATCATTGATATTTTTTAATTTTTCATAACCACGAGTAGATGGACGACTACCAGTACGTGATCCATTTGCACGACGACCTTCAACCACATATGCCATCAACTTGAGAAAGAAAAAAGCAAATGAATAAAAACAATGAATACATAGACATTGAAATAAAACAGTATAAAGCAAACAATTGTGTCAAAAAGAATACAGAGAGAGAGAGAGAGAGAGACAAGGACAAATTTTTTTGACGAAAGAAAGACGGACGTGTTTTTTTTTTCATTTAATCTAAGATGACTGTGACAAACGTTGATAACGTGTTGAACCCGAATTGCTACCAGTACGACGTCCATGTGATGAACGATTTCGTCTACATCCTTCAATTAATAAACCCAATACCTAAAAGAATCACGAGAAAATAAAAAAAAAACAACGTCCGCCTTTTTTTGCTCTCTGTTTCTTTTTGAAGAAGAAAAAAAGGGAAATTTATTTAACAATATTAGTATTAATTTACCTTATTCTTATTATGTAATACCAAATAACCAACAACAACGAATACAGTAAAAAGAAGAAAATAAGTTATAAAATTGCCTGACCATCCTTCATCATCAGAAACATATTTTCTGTTTGGTATTGATTCTAGAAAAACAAATCATGGCAATATTTTACTTTGAGTACTAATTTCTTGTCTATTTATATTAGAAAACAAAAATGAAATGTTTTTCTTACTTTGTGGTACTCTTTGTTTATCAGGAACTAAAAAATAAGAAATAATTTTTTTCGAATAAAATCATATCATAAATATACCTGCTTGTTGAATTTTTTTGGGTGGAGCTCTTTCTACAAAAGATATTTTCTTATTTAATTCAAAAACAAATTCTTTAAATCATATTTACCTTCACCAGCTGGTTTAATATTCATTCCACTTGGAACTTTATTATCAGCTAAAATGAAAAGACAAAAATAATTTAAAAAGAAAAATAATTTTATTTAAAATTCATTCAATGTTGATTATACGAATAAATAATAATATGTATAAGCATTCCTTCAAATGCAAAAGGAACACATCAAATGTTTTATCCAGTATAAAAGCTTGAAGAAAATGCTTTTTTTTTAATTTAAAAAGGAGCATTCAGGTTAAACACAGGGATAGATGTATGCAAGAAATAAAGATCATGCTCTTATTTCAAATAGAACCTTGATATTCAGCATCTTCGTCGTTATCAGGTAGATTATCTGAGTCGACTGATGGACGAGGGTTATTAGCAGCATCATAATCATCATGCGATATACGCTCATCATCTTCTATATTGATTATGAGAAAAGGAAAATAGATTGAATTTAAACGAACCTGGTTTATCTTTTTTATCAGTAGCTGATTGAAAATCTTTTTTATCAGATGCAACTTGTTGTTCTTTTAATTGTTTTTCATTTTCTTTAGCATTTGCTGAATCATAATCGTCATCGTCATCACTTTTAGGTTTATTCGGGTTTATATTACTGGGTGGTACATCGACTGTCTTGTCTAAAAACAAAAAGGAAACGAAAAAAGTTTCATTTTTGTTTTTCTTAAATCATTATAATGATAAATAAATCTTACTCTCTTTATTTTTACTAGTGGCTATAGGAGTTGAATTTTTAGCTAAAGAAAAAGAAGAAGAAGAAGAAGAAGGACGAGCAGTAGTATTAAGCATCCAAGACATGTTTGTGGTATTTTTAAAATTGATTAATGGTGTAGCAGATACAGAATCATTCAAAGATGAATCTTTGCTAGGTCCAAAAGGATTCAATGGACTATTTTTAATTAATTCAATTAATTGTGAAGGTGATAAATGAAATTTTTCAATTAATTTAGTTAGAGATAGCGAATCATTACCGGATTCTTTATTATTGGTGGTATTCAAGTTAACGTCTGATAGATAAAGGTTATCTTTTGTATTTATCTTAGTTATTTTATTCTGTGTAAACTTACTAGTTCGATTTGTGAGATCGAATGTTCTATTTACCGCTGATACTCCTACTGTATTGGTATTATTAATAACTTTCAATTAAAAAGAATTAAAGAGATATACAAATTGAAAGCAATTTACCAGCTCCTGAAGTTGAATTTCCACCTAAATTCAAGAAAAATAAGAAATTAAATACATATTTTAGACAATTTTTTTCGATCTGTTATCGTTCTAGGAAAATCTAAAAGAACTAATATATGAAAAGAGAAAAAAATCACTTAAGATCTTAATAACTAATTCTTTAATATAATAAACTGTATTTGATTATCTAAAATAATTTTTAAGAAAATAAAATGAATAAACTACCTTTTGTTTCATCTTTTTTGGATGCTAAATCTGGTTTTGGAATTTGTTTGCCTAAATTAGAAATTAAATAAATAAATAAATCAAATAAAATTTTTCATACTTTGCTCAGTGTCTTTTGATTGATTGGCATTTTTATTATTATCATCATCGTCTTCATAATGATATAGATACAATAAATAAGAAAAATGAAATAAAAAAAAACTTACCATCACCGTCGTCATTTGTTGGGCCTTTTTTAACTGTAGGATCAGGCTTATTTCCACCTACATCTAATACTTTTTGTGCTTTATCGACTATTGAATATATATTTTTTCAAGTTGTTTTCAAAAAATAGACATGAAATATTACCTGTACTATTTGCCACTTGCTTGGTTGTATTGCTTACCAATTCACCAGCTTGTTTAACTTTGTCGATACCATCTTTAGTTGCGTTACCTTTAAAAAAGAAAAGAAAAAGAATATGATTTTATTTTTTTTTAAAAATTTTTCTTTACCAGTTTGGTTGGTTTTCTTAGTAAGACTATCTTGACCTGCAGATACTTTATCTTTCGTATTACCACTAGTGCCATCAGCTTTGTCTTTGTCAGTGTCAGCTTCGTCATCATCATCATTATCATCACTTGTTTTGCTTTTTCCAGTTTTAACAGTGTCACCTGTCTTGCTTTGTGCTGTTTCATCATCATTATCAGCATCGGCATCAGCATCGTCGTCATCTGTCTTGCCTTTTGCAGTTTTGACAGCATCACCTGCCTTGGTTTTTGCAGTTTCAACAGCATCACTGACTTTGGCTTTTGCAGTATCAACAGCAGTACCTGTCTTGGCTTTTGCAGTTTCATCATCATCAGCAGCATCAGCATCAGCATCAGCATCGTCGTCATCTGTTTTGCCTTTTACAGTTTTAACAGCATCACCTGCCTTGGTTTTAGCAGCATCAACAGCATCACCTGCCTTGGCTTTTACAGTTTCGACAGCATCACTAGCTTTGCTTTTAATAGTTTCAGCAGCGTCTCCAGCCTTGGTTTTCACTGATTCAGCATCATCATCATCATCACCTGCCTCGTCTTTTAAAGTTTTGGCAGCATTACCTGTCTTGGTTTTCACAGCATCAACAGCATCGCCTGCCTTTGTTTTTACAGCATCAGCAGCATCACCTGCCTTGGTTTTTGCAGTTTCAACAGCATCACTAGCTTTGCTTTTAACAGTGTCGTCATCATCATCAGCAGCATCGTCGTCATCTATCTTGCCTTTCACAGTTTTGACAGCATCACCTGCCTTGGCTTTTACAGCATCAGCAGTTTCACCTGTCTTGGTTTTTACGGCATCAACGGCATCACCAGCCTTGGTTTTTACAGCATCAGCAGTTTCAGCTGTCTTGGTTTTTACAGCATCAACGGCATCAGCTGTCTTGGATTTTGCAGCATCAACGGCATCACCTGCCTTGGTTTTAACAGCATCGACAACTTCACCTGCCTTGGCTTTTACAGTTTCAACAGCATCACTTGCTTTGCTTTTAGCACTACTGAGTGCTTCTTGTGTCTTTTCTTTGGCTGCTTGTGCTGTATCAGCAATGGCATTTTTCGCATCTTTAACAGCTCCTACAACTGATTCTGCTAATGTCTTTTTATCTGTATTTGAAGTTGTATTATCTAATAAATAAAAACAATAAATAAATTAATCTTATTTATTAATTATTCGAAGAGTCACCTGAAAATAGAAAATAATATATTATTCTAATTCAAGTTTACTTCTGTTAACATCATGTATATCTTTATTAAATTCTTCCTATCTTATGACTTTAAATCACGAAGAGCTTGAACTTTCATTATTATTCTCAAAAGCGGAATATTCGAACAAATATCATGGTAGAAAAATACTATTAAATTAACGAACATTTTACCAAATAAAATATTCAATAGTCAGATAATATTCTTAATATAAGAAGATAAATCAAATCTGGAATTTTTAAATAAACTCTTCTTATATATCTAAATTATTTCTTCCCACGAGATACATTTCTCATACTAAACTGTCATTTTATCTATGAAATAGTTCGAATGCTTTACAAAAATATGATACTCTTAACATTGATCTACATGCGATATCAATTTATAACAAAAAATCCTAATAAATATGTAACAGATGTTTGAATAATAATTTTCTAACTAACCTTTATTTTGTTTTGCAAGATCAGCTTCTCTAACACGTGGTGCAATTTTATAAAAGAATCTTGCTAATGGAAGTGCATTTTCATCACTCGTAACTTTCGTACATAAACCATTGGAACTAATAATTTGTTTTTGTTCACTATTTAATACTTTTTTTGCTATCCAATCATTTGTTTTGTCTATTCGTTTTGTTCCACATAGTTCACTAGCAGTAACTTTAGTTGTATATATAGCTTTTGATGGACGTGATTCAGCAGGAACTTTACAAGCTACTGTAAGTTCATAACAAAGCATATGACATAATGTTCTAAATTGTTTGTTTGACTCTGATGTTGTGCAATGTGTTTTTAAATCATCAGTTAATGATTTATAATCATTCTCACTTTTAACAAAATCATGAAGATCACAATCCGGTACATTTTTTTTTAATTTTTTTAATACATTAATACCCGTGATTTCTTCAGTTTCTAATCCAAATATATAATTTTCATGGAATAGAATTAATGCCAAAAAGATAAGAAATAAATTCATAATAAAAAAAGAATTGTCTTCTTTATAATCTAAAATAAAAATAAAATATTTCTTGTATAGTAACGATGTGTTAAGTATGATTTAAAATAGAAGAAAAAAAAAAGTGTGTAAGAAGGGTATATCATACAAAACATGTATGCCTATGATCATGGTCGTTCTTTTTCTCTTTTCTTTTTTTTTTTGCGCGTCTCATATAACAAGCAAACTTAAATAGGCTGGCTTTTTTTTCACAGCGAATGATCAACAACCTTCTAACGCTCGTTACTTCAATGATGATAGAATGATACGGACAGTTGATTTTGAATATACAATACATTGACTTGTTTACCTGTATTGATCAAAAACGTAGAAATTATTATTTTTTTTAACTGATATGCAGTTATGAATATTATTTAGATTCATCATAAACGTTCTCAGTAAACATAAGAAAAGAAAAGAATATTTTGGAATTTTCTTACACTACTCAATTTTAGTTCGGCAAAAAGAAAAAAGAAAGAAAAAGAATAAGTAAATGAATTTTTTCAAACGTCAGCAATTGTCTCGCTTTTTTACTAAATAAACAATTTTTTTGTCTCGACAACCGTTTTACTAATGAGAAGTCATGGAAATATGACAGCTATAGATGTCACTTAAAACCGTTCTACAAAATTTTTTTTATTTTGCATCTAATTATTAACAGATACCTTATAATTCACATATATTCAGATTGAAATTTTATATCATTTGTTTTTATTCTGAATATTAATATTTTTTATTCTTTCATGACAAGGAAGGTTTTTTTCTACAAAATTACTGTCTGCCTTTTTAATACTCTCATATTTACAGTTCATTAATTTATAAAAAAAAGATTGCTATCATTTGAATACTTGAAACTAAACAATCACCATATTTCATATCCGAAGCTAGAGATATTGTCCTTGGATGCTCTTTTGAAAACCATGTAAACATAGATGTAGTGCTTCTATAATACTATAATTAAAAAAACTTTTTTGTAGTTCTTGTATTATTTGTCGTATAATATATGATACAAACATGTTTTAAAATATAGAAAATAGTATATAGTTATTTTTAGGTTAAGATATAAACTTTAGATTTAAACAAAACTAACCATAAATGATGTTAATTTATTTGAACACAAACTACTTTTTGTCGTTCTCCTACGCATTAATTATAAAAAAAACACTATTTTAAAAATGAAATATTAAATATGAAAGATGAAGTGAAAGTTACTTTTAAAATAATTATTATTAATTAGTTAATTTCCATTACCGATTTTTAAGATAAAAATAACGGAATTAACATTTTTAAATGAGATTTTCATAATCAAAATCCCAAAAATTTCAATATCAAATTAGAATTGCAATTGCTCTCAATATTCAATTTATCAGTCTATCGTTGGAATTTTAAAATTGATTAGTAAAACTCATAGAGTATTAATAGTATCGAATGAATAGCATATTTAAAGGAACAAGATGAACAGCTGCGCTTTTCGCCGTTGTAAACAGATCATGAAGACTTCTCTAACTTTCCATAGCTTCCTCACTCTTTCTCTTGCAGTTCTAGAATGGTTTTCAATAATGTATTCATTAGATTAAAATAGTGAAAATTAATATTATATTCCTAAACTTAACAAATGTTGATTTTATTTCTTCTATAACTGTAACATGATTTAAATAACAATATAAATGACGCATATGAGTTATGAAATTCTTTGATAATGAGAAAAACAGAACAGAACGAAAAATAAGAAGATAGATTTTTCTTTTTCTTTTCATTACAAGCTGATGTTGGCTTTTTTTTATATTACTTTTGTGTTATTGTCTGTGATCAAATGTTTTTTCAGTACACATGGAAAGAAGAAAAGGTAGACGAAGACGACGAATAGTATTACACTAAAAAAAAGAAACAACAATAGAATTATGAATCTACGTGTTCTTTAATTTGTTTTTTTGTTAATAAAACTGAATGTATAAATAATATTACTATTCATATATCAATTATAAGGTGAGAAAAGGTAAAGTCTTGTAATTCTTTTAATTGATGAAAATTTGTCTTTGAGATGATTCATAAGTTAGGTATGTATTGTTGGGAAAAAATTTTTAATTTATTTTTCATACAAAACATCTTGTTATTTCAGATGATAAATCTTGTTTGATATTTATTTAGCAAAAATTTATTATTTGTTTATATATAATGTCTAATGAACATGTATCACATCTCAATGATCTCATAATTACTGAAAATATATCAAATAATGTGTCATATTCATGTATAGTTCTTCAACTTCAATATAAAGATTATCGAAGAAATTTGATAATAGAAAGACATGCGACATTTATGTTTACAGATACAATTAGTGATGTTATACAAAAGTTTTTAAGAATTGCTAATCTTAACGATGTTCTTCCTGAAAATGTGGTACTTGTTGAATTTACTTTTGATAATCAACCTATGATTCCACCTTCATCATATAAACATATGACATTAAATGAGCTTAAAACTAAACAAAATTCCATCCTCTATTTCGAACCATCAGCCACTGTTGCTATAGCAAGATTTTCACGTTTAACAATATTTGGACCCAGTCGTATTGTTAAAAGAGAATGTGAATGGAATAAAGAAACAACAACATTAAAAATGCTTTTCGACTTTGTTATTACAACATTTTCATTACAATCGATTAAACATGAACAAATTCGTCTTATAACTATATATGATAATGAACTTGATATTATATCAAATTCTGATAAATTATTATTTGACTTAGGTGTTAATGATGACACATGGATATTTGTTCAAGTTGTTGAATCACAATTAGGAACATCTATAGTTTATGTTGATTGTGCTTATACAAATGGACGGAAAATTTTCGATGTACCGTCTACAATTTCAATTGAAAAATTAAAAAATCGAATCGAAAAACATTTTAATGATTATCGTCTTCTTGAATTCAATTTGTTTAATCGAATGCATGAAAAAATTGATCAGAATATGCCGAATCAAATGCTTTGTGAATTAGATATTAAACCTGGTCAAACTATTTATGCTGCTCTTCATTTTACATTTTCTGATACTTCATCATCTGTTTTAAACAATAATACAAGTAATACAACAACAACAACAACAAGAACTTCGTCATTAATTAAAAAACCACAAACGGATGAAGTTGTTGTTGCTTATCAATCTCCAAATCATGATTCAGTCAAAATTGGAACTAATATACATGATACTGTTGGTGAATTAATAGAAAATCTAAAAGCTCATCCACAATGTCAAACAGTAGGTCAATATCATATATCATGTGGGTCAATTTGTATTTCTAATGAACAACCAAATCGATATTTATGTACTTATGGAATTAAACCTGGTGATGTAATTAATGTTAGACGAGCAGAAAAAACGCCAGTTCAACAATCGAATGTTAATAATCGTTTTACTTCATTATATACAGTGGGTGAATTATCAAGATCTACTATATATGATACACGACCTATTGGTCTAGACAATCTAATAAATACATGTTATATGAATAGTGCACTTCAATGTCTTGCTCATACGATACCATTAACTCAATTCTTTTTAAATGGTTTAACTCAAAATATTTCAGATGATAATCGAAGCACAGATCCTGATTGGAATCAATTTTATGAAGTTGGTACAGTAACTGGTGCTTATGCTGATGTATTAAGAAATTTATTATTACGTAATAAATCCAGTAATTTTAATTTCTCATTTCGACCTATTCATATGAAGGAAGCAATTGGTATTCGAGCTCCACGTTTTGCAACTTCGGATCAACAAGATGCTCAAGAGTTTATGAATTTTCTTCTTGATGAAATACATAAAGAAATGAAAGAAGCAAATGGTAATGAATCGAATAATATTATAGAAGAATTATTTTTTGGAAAAATACAATCAACTATAACTTGTCTTGAATGTAAACATGAAGTACAAGCAATAAATCCATTTAGTATTTTATCATTACCACTCGTTCAATCAGGACGTCAATTTACGATAAAATTTATTGAATTAAACGGTGGGAATGATAGAGCCATTGTCAATGTACCCGAGGATGGTCAAGTCAAAAGTCTTATACAAGCCTTTGCTGATGCTCGTCCAAATTATTTGTTTTTTCGTTCCATTATAGTCATGACAGATGATGGACAAATTGACTTAGAAAAGCCATTAAATCAATTATCTGCTACAGAAGTTGTACTTGTTGAACAAGAGGACTGGTCAGGCACTGGACAAGTTAGCCGATCTACTAAGAAACCAAAACCATTAACACTTGAAGGTTGTCTACGAGAATTCTGTTCCATTGAAAATCTAGAAGATACATATCTATGTGAACAGGAAACATGTAAGAAACATACAAAAGCTAGTAAACAACTTCAATTTTCTACTCTTCCACCAATAATTATAATTCAATTGAAACGATTTTCACATAAAGATGGTTTACGAGACAAAATACAAACATTCGTTGAATATCCAGTGGAAGGACTTGATTTAAGTAGTTTTCTATCATCAACAGAAGAGGCTATTTACGATTTATTCGCTGTTACTAAACATACTGGGTCAATCTATGGTGGTCATTACATAGCAATTGCTAAACATGAAGCAAACGGTAGTAGTTTATGGTACAAATTTGATGATTCATATGTGTCATCATTTTGTTATTCCAATGATATCGTTTCAGACGATGCATATCTTCTTTTCTATATGAGAAAAGATAAATCGAAGCAATAACAATATCTTCATATCAACGAGACATGGTTGGATTATCTATAGGATATATCTGTATAAATATTTTATTTTTGTGTATGTTTATTTTTCTATACAAGAATTTAACAAATAAATTCAAAATTTTATTTTTTATATTGAATCTTTAGTGGAAATTAAAAGTTTAAAACATCCTTTTTTGTTTTGTTTAAAACGATTTTTTAACAATATCAATACATATCTCATAATTTGATGATTTATTTTATACTAAATTAAATCGTTTATCGATTGATCAGTGTAATATTCAAAAATAATATTAAAATGAACTATTGTTTGATATTACTGTAAGTGATAATGATATGTATATGGTGGTTTGTATCTCATAAGTCAACTTTCGATGATTATATATGTAAATAAAGTAGTATATTAAGATTCTGATTACGTAATTAGCATATACTGGTAGATGATCCTAACTACTAAAAAATCTAAATAAGAGATATAATATGTTATCAATCATTTGTATTTATTATTCATCTATGAATATTGAAGTATATATAATAATGCGTAGTTTTATTTGAAGACCGCGATGAAGAGGACATACGAGAAGAAAAAACAACACCAAAAAAAGGCTCTTCTATGGCTGCATTGCAAATTGCTTTTCTTTGTTGACTTCTTCATTCATAATCCTCTAGCAAAGGTAACTAAAATCTTCGTTATTGAAATTAATTTTCATCTTCTGTAAATATTTCTTTTTCTTATAGTGTCCTATCACTTAAAGTAGTTAGGATAAAATTGATCTTATTTCTTTTGTCAATGTCAAAGAAGTAATCGATTATTAGTGAGAGTTTATATAGTACAATCTTCATTGTTGTTGTTTTTCTTCCATTAAAATCTTAATGAAACTCAATAAAAAAAATTTTAAAACACAAAAACAACAAAAAAACATCGATTAATAATCTTCTATCGTTGGTTAGTCGATAATTTCTTCTCAATTTAGAATTTACTTTTTATACTAATACAAAATCTAGAATATCTTTTTTTTGTGTAGACTGTATATTAATTCAAACATGACATATCGATCAACATTATCACGTTGGTTTCAAAATCGTTTTCCTAAACCACCACCATTTCGTATTGATTTTTATCGTTGTACTAGTTGCGGTGTTCAATCGTTTGACGGTGTTTATTTTTCTGCTTGTCCTCAATGTAGAGGTATTCTTCCTGATATTGTTCGTAATGTTCGTTATGAATACTTCTGTACAAGTTGTAGTCGACAACGTAACGTATGTCGTTGTGATTATCCTTCTCCATTTGTTTCTCTTATTCGTTTACCAACACCTCCTTCACCTCAATGCCAATGCTGTTGCTCATGTACATGTTGTAATTGCTCAGACTGTGATTCAACTGACCGGTGGGAATCGTCTCCTTGTCGTTCCAATTGTTCATGTCCTTCCTATTGTTCAGAATGCGATTGTTCATGTTCACCACAATCTTTCTGATACTTATTCATTGATGTTAATAATTTCCAACGTTTACTTTCATCAGACTAATTTTTAATGCATGACAAAGAATTTGCCATTAGAATACGATTTAAATTTCTATAGAAAGAACAAGTTTTATTGATTGTATTTATTAACAAAAGAAAAAAAATAAAGATAATGCTACAGAACTATTATGAGAATGAAATATAAAATACATAGGTTTTTTTTCTGACTTAAATGTCAATTTTATTGCTTGACTAAATATAAATTACAAAAATCCAATTATTTTCTTGTTTGTGGTGATTGTTTCATTCGTTTTGATATACCTTGTGGTGTATTATTATCATAACCAGTAAATTGATTATTATCATATTCCTCGTCATCATCAACATCCATCATTGGTTGTTCATCCAATCCTTCATACGTTCGACGACCTATTCAAAAGAAAATACAAAAAAAATAAATCATGTAAAACTAATTGAATAACATCTATACTTAATACTAACGACTATATGCTGGTTTTGACGGTGAATTTGAATTTGTTCGTTGTAATTTTTGAATACTAAATTGATATTGATCGTTTGAATCCGTATCTATTGTAACATGACTGTGTGGTGCAAGTTGTGTTTGGATTAATAATTTGGAAAGTTCAGTTGTAATATGTTTTTCAAGATAACGTTTTAATGGACGAGCACCATAAACTAAAAGAAAAAAAAATGTTTTTTTTATTTAATAAAATCTTTGGTATTACTAAGAAAAACTTACTTGGATTATAAGATTTTTTAAGAGTTGATTGAATAGCTTTATCTGTTAAATTAATAGTTATATCTTGATCTTTTAAACGTTCTTCAAGTGATTTTAATTGAAGATGAACAATGGATGATAATTGATTAATATTAAGAGGTTGAAAAAATACAATATCATCCAAACGATTTAAAAATTCTGGTCGAAAATGTGCACGAACCTTAAAAAGAAAAGAAAAAAAAATCATAAGATTATTATTTTGTAATATAGAAAGTAAAACAAACTTCTCGCATAACACGATCTTTAGCTGCTTGAGATAAAGTTCCATCGTAATTTTTTGTTGATGAAGGATTTTCAACTTCTTCTAATATATATTGTGCACCAATATTTGATGTTAAAACAATAATTGTATTTGTAAAATCAACTGTTCGACCTTTTCCATCCTAAATACAAATAAATTCATTTTAATCATCAATATAGAAGAAATTTCAACATACAGTAAGACGACCATCATCTAAAACTTGTAATAAAGTATTCCAAATTTGTGGATGTGCTTTTTCAACTTCATCAAATAAAATAACAGCATAAGGTTGTCGTCGAACTGTTTCTGTTAATTGACCACCTTGTTCAAAACCAACATAACCTAAATAAAATAAAATATAAAAAATCAATTCTATGTGTGTGTTTTGTTTTTAATTACCTGGTGGTGCACCAATTAATCGAGCAACTGAATGTGATTCTGTATATTCACTCATATCAATGCGAACCATTGATTTAGTTGAATCAAATAATTCTAATGCTAATGTTTTAGCTAATTCAGTTTTACCAACACCAGTTGGACCTAAGAATAAAAATGATCCAATTGGTTGATTTTGTCTTGAAAGACCAGCTCGACTTCGAAGTACAGCGTCAGCAACACTATCAACAGCCTCATTTTGTCCAATAACGTTTTTATGTAAATGTTCACTTAATTTTAATAAACGATCACGTTCTGTTTGAGATAATTTTGATACAGGAATACCAGTCCATCGACTAACGATTTCAGCAATAGCATTTGGTCCAACAACTTCAGTTAATAATCGATCTTGTTGTTGTTTATTTTCTTCTGTAATTCGATATTCTGTTTCAGCTATTTTCTTTTCTAGATCAGGTATAGCTCCATATTTCATATCAGCAACTAAAGCTAAATTTTTTTCACGTTCAGCTTGTGCCATTTTAACTTGAAGATTTTCCATTTTTTGTTTTAATTTTCTTAATTCATCAACACGTTCTTTTTCAGCTCGATGTCGTAATTTTAATGGTTTTAATTCTTCACGTATTTTAGATAATTCTTCTTTAACTTGTTTTAAACGTTGTTTAGATGCATCATCTTTTTCTTGTGATAATGCTGTTGCTTCAACATCTAATTGTAATTCACGACGTTCTAATTGATCAATTATTTCAGGTTGACTATCTAATTGTACACGTATACTAGCACATGCTTCATCAATTAAATCTATTCAATAACAAAAAAACAATTCATTTTTTAATGAAATTTTTTTTTAAATATTTACCAATAGCTTTATCAGGTAAGAATCGATTTGTTATATAACGATTAGATAATTGTGCTGCAATGACTAGAGCTGAATCAAGAATTCGAACTAGAAAAAATAAATAATTTTTTAATCAATATGAAACGAAATAAATATCTTACCACCAAAATGTGATTCATAACGATCTTTAAGACCACGTAAAATAGAAACACAATCAGCAACTGATGGTTCTTTAACCATAACTTGTTGAAAACGTCGTTCAAATGCTGGATCTTTTTCAATATATTTTCTATATTCATCTAATGTTGTCGCACCAATACAACGAAGTTCACCACGAGCTTTAAAACAAATATATAAATATTTCTTTTGTTTATTATTAAAACTATTCTTAACATACCTAACATTGGTTTTAATAAATTTGCTGCATCCATAGCACCTAAAATAAAAATAATTTATTTAGTTTTCTTGTTAAATTCAAATAAATGAATTACCTTCTGCTTTTCCAGCACCAAGAACTAAATGTATTTCATCAATAAATAAGATAATACCACCATTTGAACTTTCAATTTCTTTTAGAACAGATTTAAGACGTTCTTCAAATTCACCACGATGACTTGCACCAGCTACAAAAGACAAAAAAACATATTTATTAAAAATGATTATTGTTAATTTATTTCTATTTACCAACTAAAGCTCCCATATCTAATGAAATTAAACGACGTGGTAATGTATCAGGAACATCTTGATGAACAATACGTTGAGCTAAACCTTCAACAATAGCTGTTTTACCAACACCCTATATTCAAAAGAAAAATATAGAAAAAGAAAAAGAAATAAAAGAAAATTCGCCTACTGGTTCACCAATTAAAACAGGATTATTCTTTGTTCGTCGTGATAAAACTTGAATACATCGACGAATTTCTTGATCTCGACCAATAACTGGATCTAGTTTTCCTGATTCAGCATCACCAACTAAATCATGACCATATTTTTCTAATGCTTGATATGTTTGTTCTGCTTTAGCTGAAGTCACATTTTTATTTTGTCTAATTTGTTTGACAACTTCTTCCATACGTTTTTTACTTAAACCAACAGAAACAAAAGCTGATGTTGTATCTGAATCTTCATATAAACCAATTAAAATATGATCAATTGCTGTATGACTATCTTTTTGTTGTTTAGATAATTTTTTTGCTTGTTTTAATACATTCATAAATGATGCATTTGGATAAAGTTTTGATGGTGGTGGATCTTGTTTAGATAATTTTTTTAATTTTAAATCAATTGCATCTTGAACTTCTTGAACATTAAATTCAGCTTTTTTTATTAATTGTCGTGTTAAACCTTGTTCATCTTCAACAAGTACATGTGCTAAATGTAATGGAACAAGTTCAATATGTTTTTGTTCTTGTGCATATTCTAATGCTTGTGATATAGCTCGATTGCTTTGATCAGTAAATTCTTCAGGAGAATAAGACATGATTGAATTTCTAGAAAATAATGTTAAAAGAAATAACTACAATCGATTTTATACTTTAATAAAAGCGTCCTTATTGACCTTATGTATTTCTAGGATAAATATAATATAACCGACTGGAATGGAAAAGAATACTATTGGATCTAATTTCTCATTCTATTGATAGACAAGAGGACGCTAGACTATATATTATTGAAGGAAATCGATTAGAAAACGATAGAGAGAATTCAATCTGATTTTCGTTAACTTTGAATATTTATACTTATGTCTTCTTTACAGTCGTAAAAAAATAAGATAAACTTTTTTTAAAAAAAAACTACCTATAGTATGTCAATAGATACTCTTAAAAATAGAATATAGATTAAGTTTAGTGTAATTTACTTACTGAGTATAGAGTAAAGTTGAATAGCGCGTTATTTACAAAGTTATATTAATGTTTTACAAATGATAACGAACGATCAATTTATATAAAAATTAAAATAATATAAAGAATTTTCTAGAAATTTCCACAAAGGAAAAGTATTGTCTCGGACATTACAGAAAAGAAAAGAAATATTTTCTATTTACCTTCACCAGCTGGAAAGAGAATGAAGAATAAGCTTATAGCTGTCATATAGTCATAATAACCGAACGAAAAAAAGAGAGGAGAAGAAGAAAGAAAGAAAAAAAAGAATGTTGGTGGTTATATGTTACTATTTTAGTGATAACGTGTAATCATATTTCTTTCAACATTTTTATTATGTCTTGATAATTTAAACAGTGATATGAATGTAATCGTAAAGAATATTTTGTATTAAAACTTAATAAATTAAATCGAGAGTAAAGTTTAAAAATGTTCATATTTTATTGAATATCATTGAAAAATTCTATTTGATTTATCCTCAAAAGAAAGCAATAATAGGATTCCAAGTACATATGTACACGAAAATATTTTTGTAATTAAGACCGTGACGGGTACTCGTTCATACCAAAAATCAATTTACATTTTGAATCAGGTAATAACAAATTATAAATGCATGTCATCTCCCTCGCTATATATATATATATTTATTACGTCGATAAATTTATCTTATGCGTTAAATCATGGTTTTTTTTACAGATATGATAACTGATAATTATTGTTGTTTTTAAAGAAATATTCAATCTCATCATATTGAAAAATATCTAATGTAAATAACATACAATTTTTTTATGATGAATCATGATTCTTGTCAATCGTTTGTAAAGGTTAGTAGCAAATGAATAAAAGTACTGTCGTTCCTAACCTTTCTTAAATTTTCAATCAATTTTCCGTTCCAGTATATTATAGAGTTAATTAGAAAATAGATTTCATCATGTTATGTCTTCACTATATAAAAAGCTTGATTCGATATTCATTCTTTTTCATATTTGAAAATATATTCGAATAGAAATAACGAACAAGAGTACAATATTCGTTGGAGATTTTATTGTTAATTTCATTGGTATTATCATGAGATTTATATTACTTCTAACAATTTTATCGATAGTATTCTATCAGTCAAAAAGTGCAATTGACGTACCTACATTTCAAGCACAAGCTCTTGCTCAACATAATTATTATCGTGGACTTCATTGTACTAGTGCAATGACACTTACTGCATCATTAAACACCATTGCACAAGCTTATGCCGTTCAATTGGCAGCGACCAATACTTTTGCACATAGTGGAACTGCAGGATTAGGTGAAAATCTTTACGCGTATTTTGGATCATCTGCAACTACTTCTTTCAATGGTAAGAATGACATAATATTCGCTAGAACAAAAAATATTTTGTATCAAATACTTTGAATATATTAGGTTCAACACCAGTCACTGATTGGTACAATGAGATTGCAAATTACGACTTCACGACATCAGCAAAATCAACAGCAGCTTCTTCAACATCGGAAATTGGTCATTTTACACAAGTTGTTTGGGCAGCTACAACACAATTAGGTATTGGTGTTGCATTAAGTAGTGATCTGAAAAATGTAACCGTCGTAGGAAATTACTATCCAGCAGGAAATTTACAAGGCGCATATGCTGCTAATGCAGCTCCACTATGTTCACTCAGTGCTGGAGGTGATTAAATATTTCAAAAAGACACATACGAATAATTTATATTCGTAGTTTTTTTCTAAATATATTTCTATCGTTGTTAATTGGAGATTCATTTGTTTTTCTATTTTTTTCACATCAAATAAATTAATATGCAATTTGACAGTACTAATAATCTTTTAATAATTATTTTCTAAATAGACAAAAAGAAAGCATTTAAATTAACTAAGAATATGAAAATATCCATGAAATATATCAATAATTTATACTTGTATTTTATCGAATGAAATTGGTTTTTAATCAATAATATTCTTTTTTTCTTAAGATATATGTGCAAAAATACTTAAATTCTAGCAATTATTTATTTCAAATGGAAACTGATTAATTATACAGTGATAGCACTAATAATAGCAAAATATATGAAATATAGCGACTCTATTGATTGATCTTCTTGTCTCTACATCAAAAAGATTCATTAAAAGTATTTACTTGACTAAATTAAATATATTACTATGAATAAAATTTAGTTTGTATATTAACGAATACTCTATCTTGACAAGAAAAACTCAAATATACCATTATTCTATACACTAGAAACAAAGTATACAGAATATGTTTCGATGATTTATTATTCCTATTAATTTTGTCGAGGACATTTTATCGATTGATTTTTTAAGTACAATTGTACTTGCTACGTTTCAAGAGGAAACACTTCTCGAACATAATATTAAACATGCACTTCATTACGTTGGTTCAATGAATATTCTTATTAGTCTCTTGAATTTGGTTATTATTATAATTAATAATAACCGATTTGTTTATATTTATAAAAAAAGAAGCAATAACTGTTACAAAACTTATATTTAATTGTTTAATTGGATGAGAAATCTGGATAATTTTTAAGATGAATTAAATTATATTTTATATTTATACTTAAATATTAGATATCAATTTTAATTCGTTTGCTAGTGTCTAGACGAAGTTAAGAAGTAAATATTAACAAATTCTGCGAAATAAAAATTCTTTTCTTTTTATTTCAAAACAATGTTGTAAACTGTAAGAATATCATTATAACACGTGCTTTCTTATCTTGTAACGATTATAGAAGATATTAAAAGAAATGCTACATGTTTTCGTTATTTTCATTTGGACTGCGATAATAAAAAGAATTTTTTTTCAAAGTATAATTTTTTTCAGAAAATTTTGTTTTTGTATTTCAAAACAATATCAAAACTGATTGGTACGTTGTTTTTAAGTTAGAAAAAAGTGTTTTTATGAATACATATGTATATTTAGGATGAACGTATAGTTATTAATATTATTCGATATTTCTTTAGAGAGAGAGATACAAGTGTAAACAAATCGACTCAGTTGTTGTCACAAATAGAAAAAAAAGATTGTTCAACGATGATGTAATAACTAATTGCGAGAATTAGAATTTAACAGCATGAGATACAAATTTTTTTGATCGAATAACTCACATGGTTATTTGCAAGCAGTGTTTTTGGGTCTTCCATTCTTTGTCTTGTTGCTTAAGTCTGTCTGAAACTTCTATAATCCTAATTATAATCATCAGTTGAAGTCATATTGTATATCTCTAAAAATAATTATTGTTTATAGGGAAAAGATTGTTAAGTTTATCACAAATCTTCGGCACTTTTCGACGTATTAAAAAAACCAAGAACAACAATAGTGATGTTATCTCAAAGAGATCATTCAAAGAAGATTAAACAACAAGAACATGTAACATCAATATCAGAAACAAAACATCAATCACTTATCTATATTTCTAATCTACCTGTAGACGTTATAGATGATTCTGAATTGGAACGTTTAATTATCCATCGTATTGAAAATAGTCTTAGAATTAAATTGAACGATGTTAAATGTTATGGAAAATTAGGTGTTGGAGTTATTCGCGTCAATGATAGTCAATTAAAAGATTATTTCATTAAAGACGTTCAAAAATTAATTTTAGATACAAATGAAAGCACAACGACAGTTACTTTTGTTGAAGTACTTAAATTTGTTTCATATATTGTATTAGATATGGAGAAAGATAAAAATAATTTGGTTACAATACCAACATCGGATGAAGTGAAACAAGCCTGGTTTGAATTACATAAATGGCGAACATTACAATCATGTGATCAATTACATAGTCAATTTTCTAATATTTATCGTCTTGTTTCAACATCTTTAGATGAAATACTCAAATCTATCAATCAACAAAATATCGTTATTAAAAATCAAATTGGATATGTTTATTATTGTGCTACATGTAGTTTTCTAGAAGATTTACCAAAATCTATTACTCGAGATCAGTTAAAAAAATTTATTAGTACTGATATTCAACTACCAAATATTTCTTCATCATCTCTTGCCGTAGAAATAAATAAACGAAGTAATAATGCATGTATTATTGCAACTGACATAGCACGAAAATGGTCTACAAAGAGTTTTTTACATCTCAACGAACGAATAATATATAGGAAAGATACTCTGCCATATCGTCTACTTCTTCATCCAGTTCCTCAGACATTGACTTTGAATTCTATTCTCAATCATGGAATATTTTCTGGTAAAATAACAAATCATAAACATAATGAAGAAAATCTTATTATCGATCTATCTGACAAATATACCTTCGATAAATGTATGAAAAATCCATCGTTGTCAATTAATAATCAACATATTATTCATATTAAAGAATATAATGTATTGAACAATATCGAACAAAATGAGATTGATGCTACTTCATGGTATGAAACAGAAATGCGCCAATATAAACCTGATATAATGCAATTTCTTAAAGAACCACGACATGTAATTCTTTCATACAAATGGAATACACAGATATGGCTTGAACAATTAAAGCGTTCAATAAGTATGAATTCTAATAAAACAATTCATTTACTTCGAATGACAGTTATGTTAAATACTATTGGTACTTTATGTAAGAAAAGTTACATAGTCGATAATCGAGAAGTGAAATTAAATGTGAATAGTAAACTAAGAACAATTATTTATAATCATCGTTCAAAACTTAAAAAAAGCGATAAAATGTCATTAACAACAATTCCATATCCAAAAACAAATGTTTACGTAGTTCGAGATGATTATTTTATTGTCTATGAACAATTAATTCAAAAAGGTAAACGACCAGTTCTTGTAAATATTGCCAATACAACAAATTATAGCGATGGATATAAAAAGGGTAAAGAAGGACAAGAAGAAGATCTATTTCGACGTTCGGATTGTTTTCGAAGTCTTGATATTGATCTTGAAAAACTTTTATTAAAACCATCAGAACATTCTTACTGTTCCCATACTTGTCAACTTGAATCTTTATCGAAAGATTTTCCTATGTATCCAGTTGATGAATATGGTGCTATTTATACATCTGGATTAACAATTTTTCGTCAATCCGAAGACAAAGGTTATGCTTATATGACTCGACCATTAGAAAATGTTTCTTTAATATCAATAGGTATTTACGAAAATCCTAAACTAGAAGGACATATGTTAACATCTAAATATGCTATTGGATTACGAAAGAAAATTGAAAATATATTTTCTATTGCTTATCATCATAATCATGATAGTATTATTTTACCAATTCTTACTGATGATATATATAGAACATCATTTGATCATATTTTAAAAATCTTTCAATCAGTTATTGAACAATATGCAGGTTTTTTTAATTCTATTACATTTGTTATTTCTGATAAACAATATTCGAAATGTATATCAAATAATCCCGAGATTAATAATAAATTATTTCAAGAACTTGATGGAATGATTGTACAATCAATGAAAATTATCAATACACCAAATATTATGTTTGGTCCTTACCGATTTCTATCTGATGGTATAACAATAAAAGATATAAATATATTTGATTTACCATTATGTCAATATGGAGCTAAATGTCGTGATATTTATAATTCAAATCATATTCATGAATTCTCTCATCCATCATTATGTCCACAAGAATATCTTACTGGAACATGTACATTAACAAATGATATTGTACATATGTCATTATTAGTTCATCAAAATCAATGTCAATATGGTGGTGAATGTCGTGATATTAATAATGAAAAACATAGTCAAGAATTTAAACATCCTCCGTATTGTCCAACTGGAGGTATGTGTCAAAATATGCAAAAAGAACATTTAAAACAATATCGACATGTACCTTTATGTAAACATGCATTGAAATGTATGGATTATAAAAAACATTCTCAAAATCATTGTGATAAATATCGTCATTGTATGATCTATTGTTCATATGGTTCGTATTGTCCTAAATTTCATGATAAACAACATATGGAAGAATTTCAACATCCATTTCCTACTCCTTGTCTTCGTACACCATTTCATTGTCTATTTTTTATTGAATTATGTGAAACAAATGATATTCGAAATCTTCCGCGACATATTCAACAACATTGCCTTGATTTTGCACATGTATGTCGATATGGTCGTAATTGTATTGATAAAACACCCATCCATTGGGAAAAATGTATTCATATTGCTCGTTCTCTTTGTTCATATGATGATAAATGTATGAAACTTCATCAAGAAGATCATTTAAATTCATTTACACATTCAAATATACGTGATATTCGACTATTATGTCGATTTACAGATAAATGTCATGATCGTCAAAAAGTTGATCATATTATGAAATTTCGTCATGCAGTTACATTTACTGATAGTGGGATTGTTCAATATTTTGATTTAAATCAAAAAACGAATTTTATTGATAATCAAATGAAAAATATTCAACGTATAAATACTTATATAAAAGCTCAATCATGGAAATCATTATCATCAGGAATAATCCCATCAGAAATTCTTCATTGGATACGTACTGTTCAACCTGTTCATCGTTGTAGTCCAATTATATTCGAATCTATTCTTCTTCATGGACATGTTATGAGTCGATCACATATGGAAAATTTAAAAAAACCAGAATTTGTTGCTAATTCTGTTCTACAACATAGTCGTATACGTTCTATTGAAAATTTAAAAGAAAAAACTTGTGCCGAGCTTGCAAGAAAATATGTTACTATTTTAGTTAAAACTGTATATGATAAACATGGATTTCCAGATGCAAAATCTTTACTTGGTCATTCAGATAATTTAAAAAAAGAAGAAAATATTCTTTCAGCTATTATTAATTCAAAAGATATGGAAGCATTACGTGGAAAAACAATTGAAATTGCACAAGCATCAATTAAACTTCATTCAGATCCAACTGGCATTGGTTTTGATAAAGATAAAAATTTAAGAACAGATAAAGCTGTTTTCAGTATACTCGGACCTCATTTGGGACACTATTATGGAGACGTATGTATTGTATTTAAACGTGAAATTTTACATCATCCAGATGCAAATTTTTCGATGCAAGCTGCAACTTTTTATCCTAGTGGACATGCATATACTCTACGTCCATGGCTAGGTACTGCTCCATCTTCAAATGATCAACGAATAAAACAATTTCATGAACAAAAATTAAATGCTTCTGTACCTGGTTATGAATATGCAACTGCACTTGAATTAATTGCTCTAACAAGTCATATATTTTCAAAGACAACAATGGATATTGATCTTGAAACAATTCTACAACGATGGATAAAAGTTGATTCACATCAAAATATCGAAGGACATTTACCAACACTTATTCCATTAGATTATATTGATCATATATATATACCAAAGGATATATACGATTCATTAAATTCAGCATCACATCGAGCAATTAATGCTGTTTTTAAAAATTCTATTACAATTACTGAACATGTAGGAACTATTAGTCCACCTGTATTTAATTTTATTCCTAAACCACCAACACAAGCTCGAACAGATTATCAAAATTTTATTATTGATCAATTAATTAAACGATATCATCAATATACAAAAAATCCATTATTTAAACCAATTCAAGGTGTTGTTATTACAATACCATCAACAAATTTTAAAGATCATATTCTTTTACCATATACAATTTCTCAAGCATATATACAATATTCTAATGAAAATAAACATACATTAGCAGATAAAATTGTTTATATTTATTGGCAAGCAATGAATGGTGATATGATGTTAATATTATCAAATGAACAAATTGATCCAAATGAATCACAACCAAATTTACGTTGTTTACTTTCTTATGTAGCTCATAAATGTACATCAGATGATAGTCAATATTATGAACATTCTTCGTATATAAATTCTGGTCATCCATTTCAACATCATCAATTTGTTCAAAAAAATAAATATCTTGCTAAATCAAATTTATTTCATGTTGGATGTAATACCGATGATTTTTTAACTTATTGTTTAGAAATACAATATTCAACAGGGAAAGTCAGTCTTTTTCATGCTGGATCAAATTCAATTTATAATAATGAAATAATATCGTATACATTTAATAAATCAGAATTAGATTTATCGACATTAGATTATATTCAGATAAGTGCTGGTGCTCATACAGTTCCTGTTAGAAATTTAATTGTTTGTTTTGAAAAACAAATAGATTTACATCCAATAATTGATAAAGAATTTAGTAAAAATGCTGCTACGAATTCAATTTTAACAAAATTTTCAAAGACAAATGATGAACATACTTCTTCTTTAAAATCATGTTCTGATAATGTTAATTGTATGATTCAATATTCATCTGATGGAACAGCTCATAATTTAAAATATTCACATCCATGTCGTTTTTCTGAACTCTGTCGAAATAAAGAAGCACATCTAACACATGAACTACATCAAGTATCGATGTGTAATCATGATAAAGATTGTAACAAACTGAATGATCCTATTCATCGAGCTAAATATCGTCATACAGATTTGCCGGATTTCTTAATTCCATGTCAACTTCAAAAGCAATGTAAAGATAAATCAGATCAACATCGAATTAAATATTCACATGGTGAACAAGTTTTTGAATCTAAAGATAAAAAAGGATCAAGTCATATATCATCTGATCAGCGAATATCATGTAAATGGGGTTCACAATGTCGAGATATTGATGATAAACAACATTGTACGAAATATACTCATCATTCTACTAAGAATCCAAAGAATGATGATCGCATACCATGTAAATGGGGATCACAATGTCGAACAATTGGAGATGCAGAACACAGAGCAAAATATTCTCATTCTCATTTCCTTACTGACAGCAAATAACATGATGATAATTCGGATGAATCAGACAATTAAATTTTTCATTTCATATTTTTATAAAAAAAAATAAAATATACAACATACAATACGACTTCAAGTTATTTCAGAACTAATTTTTTATCGATTAGTATCAAAAGACTATTATCACATTTAATATACAAAAAAAATACTTCTATAAATAACTGAAATAACATATTACAGATCAAAAATTTTCTTGAGAATTTCAAATATTATTTAATAATTATCTCTAGTTTCGAATCTTATTCATATATTATTCATATTGATGTGTTATATGATACATCATTTCATCAAATGAAAAGAACAGTAATCGTGATGTATAAAACATGTTATTTTGTTATTGGCTTGAGAAAAAAAGAAAAAGTAAATACCTATTCACATATAAATAGTCATGCGCATCACTTGATTTTTATTTCATCGAGTATACACAATGCCTACAGGTACGCTTGAAGTAATTATTGCTGAAGGACGTCGTCTTAAAGATAAAGATACTGTCGGCCAAAGTGATCCCTATGTAGAAATTTATTTACATCATAAATATAAACAACGTACAACAACAATACAAAATACGAATGATCCTGTATGGAACGAACGATTTACATTTAATCTACATCCAAAGGATGATACAATACATTTTGATGTTTACGATTCTGATGTTGGTGGTAAAGATGCAATTGGTAACGGTAAAGTAAAACTTAAACATGTATTTGATGATGGGAAATTTGATGATTGGGTTAAATTACCTGCTCATCTTGGTTTATCAAATCATGGGGATATTCATGTTATTATGACATTTACTGTAAGTTGTCCTTGAAAAATTTCTATCTCATCAATTATATTTATTTTTTAGCCATCATAAATATAAACTTACAATACCGATTGACATTTTCATTCAATAGTTTTTTTTCTTCTTTACAGTTACTTATTTATTTCCATAGTTTCCGTAATAAAATATTCATTTTACAATTATAATTTATTTTATTGCAATAATAAACGATAATATTGATAACACATAGCATTACACATAAGCATAAATTAAATATAGCAAAAAAATAAAGCTGAATTAATATAATATGCATATATATATATATTATTCTTTGTCTTCATTCGCTTTTTCAACTTTACGAGCTACGGTTGTTGCATTTGGAACATCTCCTGCGTTTGAACTAGCGGCACCCAGTTTATCGACTGCGTGTTTATCAACCAAACTAAATCGAAATTGAGTTGATGTAGTAATATAAAGTATTGGAATCCAAACAACCGATGTTTTAGCAAAGCAAGCACAAACAAATGTAGCCATAGGTGGTGGAGTATAATGACTAAATGCTCCTATAAAGAATAAAATTGCA